GGGCTCTATCTGGGGTTTTCCACCTTTCACATGCCAGACAGAATTAGAAATCATTCCCTTTTCCCCTTTGGAGACAATTAAAACAGAATAGAAAAATGTTTCTTTCCTATCTACTAACATTTAAGATAACAGATTCTCTAAACTTTTTGAACTTTTCTTTCTTCTTTATCTATTGGAAAAATACATAATCTAGTGTTCAAGAATGTTCCTGGAACTTTAGAGACATGATATAATTATCATGTTTATGCTTTCTATGAGAGGATAGAAAATTTCCCAGGAATTTTGAGAAATCGGGTAGCTGGATTTCTGTTCCTGGGGCATACTTTAGTTCTTCCAACAGCTGCAGTTAATCATTCTTTTTTAGAGGCCAATTTCATTTTGTCCTTAAAATACAAAACATATACACATAGGCATGATGTTGGCCTATGAGTCCATCATCTTAGAAAGAGTTTTAGTCAAGGCAGAGAGACAGAGGAGCCTTTAATACTATTTACATAGAGACTACAAGTCAAGCTCCGTTTGAAAAGGCTTGCTTCACTTGGCTTAGGGGTTGTTTTAGTGGACCGTATGATGGAAGGCGTCTCCTGTCCAGGTATTATGTAACAGGTTTCCTAGCTTGTTCTTCTAGTTGACTTGGGTGAACGTATCAAAACTAAGTTGGGAAGAGACTTTTGTATTTCATTATCAGAGTCATACTCTGTTTTTCACAGCTTTGGAGATTAAACGTAGGACCTCACTTATGCTGGACTAACAGTCTTCCTCTGAGCTATATCTCCAGTCATTTCCATGCCTGGCTGAGATTGTATTTGATTCCTGAACTTTCTTTTAAATTTTCTGCCTTTCCTGAGAAAATTGAATTTTCACTTTAATGCTTTTGAAATTTTAGGGATTACATGAATTTGATCACACCTGGAATAGACTAAGAATCATCTCACCATATATTTCACACTTGGAAGGTAAGTCAGCCATTGGAAAAATCCTTCATTTATGTCAAAACTGGTCAATGTTTTTGACATTTCCTAAGTGTGATTAATGCTGCCATAATTAATGCCAGTTATTTTGGTACTATTTCTATACATCATTAAATCACCAATTTCAGCCTTTTGGCCACAGGAAGAGGTTTTACAATGAGAAATCATGACACATTGTCACAAAATTTCATAAGAATTTCCCCTCCACAGATGAGAAAGGTGATCGTCTCTTCCACGCAAGGTGAATGTCGCCATAAGGAATCTTTTCTCTGTAAACTCATGGGCATGTGTGGACTGTTGAGCTAAGATTACGATTAAAAGAATAACTGAGATGTGAGTGGGAAGGATTTTGAAGTTCAAATTCAGGACCAAGCAAAGAACCAGGAACCTAAATATACCAATGAGAAAACAGTGTGCGCACCAAAGGAAATAACTTTGCTTTCCTCTTTTCTTGCTCACGCTATCAACTCTTACTGTATTTGTTTTCCACAAAGTATAACCTGGTTGGTTGGTAAAAATGAGGACCTTTCTCAAAGCATTTGCAAGCTCGTAGTCAGTGCTGGGAGGATTGTCTGAGTGTTCTTAGTCAGTGAGAGTAATCTGCAGGTATGTTACCGGCTCCAGGGAAGTATTCCTTAGTTTCCTTTCAGCCTGTTTAACTCATGAAGGGGTGGATGGCTGGTCTCTTTGGATATGCTACTGATTCCTAGAGTAAAGTGCTTTTTAGCTGGTACTAAATGGGAATGGAGGGGAGCTACAGGATATCTCTATTCTAGTTCTCAACAAAACAAAAAAAGTAAAGTAAAGCAAAGTAAGAAAGACATCCAAAATTATTGGTTAGCCACCCTAGAAGGAAGGAAAAATAACCTCATACACAAACTTTAAAAAGTTGTCGAGTAAGGAAAGATGTGGATAGTTCTCACGCTGGAGGGTTCAAACAAAGCTCCTGACTTCTTCTTCAGACTCAGAAGCATCTTGTGGTGGAAGACAGTGATTCTAGAAAACACTGTGAATTCTCACTAATACATTCCACTTCAGAAGAGAGCCTTTCCAAGACTTTTATATTAAAGGCTTAAACTGGGTTAAACCAGAGACAGGCAGATCTCTGTGAGTTTGAGACCAGCCTGGTCTACAGAATGATTTCCAGGACAGTTTCCAAAGCTACAGAGCAACCCTGTCTCGAAAAACAAAACAAAAGAAAACAACAACAACAACAAAGAAGTATCCAGACATGATTGGCTAAGAGTAAGTGCTTCCACAGGGGTTGAAACCTGGAATAAAAGGAAAGAAACAGAAATCTTTTGAAAGACTGATTTCCTAGGGTCAAGAAGGGTGAGAGAATTGAAGTTAAACCTGGGCTCCAGTCTCAAAGTGCACAGACATCCAGAGAGTGAGAACCTAGCTCAATTTGGAGAACGCCTCATTGCCTCATCAGGCTGTACCCCACAGCTGAGCCTGATTCATGCATACAAGGGACACACATCCAGGCTTGTATGCTGAGATACTCCAATGAGACACACTTGGAATAGACACACTCTAGATAAACCTCATTCTTAACTTTCAATGGTATTGCTAACTGTGGAGAAACTTGGCTCTCTGGAAGACGATTTACCCTCAAATCTTTAAGATGAAATTAAGTCTTGAATACCTGTTCTTGTAATAGCCTGCAGCAATAATGTAGGAACAACTGCAGCACACTAAGTTAAAGCATTTTTCAGTACATAGGAAACCAGTACAGTCCTATTATAAAAGCATATGTAAAAGGATAATGTTGAACCCAGAAGAAGGTGGTGATAGCTCTAGGATCTGTGGATGAAAGTCTCCCCCTCTCCTAGAAATAGGCTACTTGCTGTAGACATAGCCTGAAGTCCTTTACTTTACCCCCTTAGGGTGCTAAGTGGAAGCCTTCTAGTTGAACTCTGCTCCAAGCCTAAGTTATTTTTCTTATTTATTTCATTTTATGAGTGTTTTGCCTCCATCTATGTCTGTGTACTACATGTGTGCCCTGGATCTCAGAAGAGGGAGTAGGATCATTAGAACTGGAGTAACAGATAGCTGTGAGCTGCCAAGTGAGTGCTTGGGTCCAAACCCAGGTCCTCTACAGGAGCAATAAATATTCACAACTCCTGAGCTGTCTCTCTGTTACCCACCCCAACTCTTCTTGATGTCAAGTTCCTGTCTGCTGGGTTAGTTGGAGGAACACAGGCACAGATGAGGAGAGGCACAGCATTCTAGAAGCCTTTGATTAATGCTGGCCCGGGATTCATTCCTCTAACTGTTAAGATTATTTCCATAGGTAACATACAGAACAGTTAGTGTTTTTAGTGTTAAGAACACAATAAGAAAGAGGGCTGAACTGAATGTTTCCTAGTAGGTTTTCACTACCTCCTACCCATGAACCAACACCTGGTCCTGGTGGGGTGATTAAGATCCCAGACATGATGCTGGGTGGCTGTGGCGCACGCCTTTAATCCCAGCACTCCGGAGGCAGAGGAGATGGATTTCTGTGAATTTCATACCAGCATGGTCTAAAGAGTGATTTCAGGACAGGCTCCAAAGCTACCAAGAAACTCTGTCTCAAAAAACAAAACAACAAAACAAGAAGTACCCAGACATGATGGTAAATAGTACCAGAACACCTGGAAAGAAGGCTTTTAAGGTAGTCAAAAAGAAAGGTGAGTTTAGAGGTTTTGATGTTTCAATTTTAAAAAAATGTTTAGGGCTTTGTAATTATAAATGGTTCTAGTGTCAGTGTGGGTGGAGGAACCAAAAATGTTATTAGCTCCACATTCAGAAAACAATGTACTATACAATGTTTACAGTTTACAGGTGAGACACTGAGAAGATCTCTTCAGGGTGGACACAGATCTTTCAGAGACTAGATTTTTTTTGAGGTGGACATCTCAAGTATCTCAGGCTGGCTTCAAATTCTTTAAGGTAGTTCCATGACTTTGAACTTCTGATCTGCCTGCTCCCACCTCCCAACTCCTGAATCACAGGCCTGTACCACCATACATATATTTAGACGATGATAATTTTATTTGGGAAGCATATGACTTACAGTGGTATGGTCACTTGTAAGTTTTATTCTTTTTCCATCTTACAAGGGAGAGCAGTTGTGCACCATTTGCTAGAATATTAATCACCACAGGCATGAGTAAGTCTTTCTCACCATGACACAGGGTGACAAGTATTTAGCAAGACATTCAGTAGCAAATTTCACCCACACACCACAATATTGCAAGGATGTCTTGGAAAAAAAACTGGACCAGTCTTGTAGAATGACAACCAAACACCCTTTGTCGGCCTTCATTTTCTAACTACATATGCCTTTATAAACTGCAATAGTATAGTCATTTTTGGGAAATTAAAAACAGCTAAAATATAATATATGAAGTACTATCTCCTAAAACCCCTGTTACTCTCCTACTTGAATCTTGGGCTTAGGGAACATAATAAGTAGCATTTGCAGCATTGACCTTTTGACCTGGATAAGGGGCTGCTATTGTCTTGTAGGAAGTGGCTTTATTAACAAAATGTCATTATCATAGTTCATTGTGACAATCAAAAATGCCTCCAGACAATACAGACATCCTTTGATCATCAGATTTGACCCCTACTAGAATACTGATCTACAAGTCTGCCCACTTCTCTCTATGACGGTTGATGGGCAGCACATCTCTCTCTCTCAATCAACAGACATGAAACACAACCAAGGAAGTAAGTGTAATGGTTATCCTTAAACAAAACCACTTATTGGTCAAATGGATGCATTTCTTTTCCACTGTCCTTCCTAATAAGTCAGTGACCCCCCCCGCCCACAGCCAGCCACTTTCTCACAGAATACTCAATTAGATCTTGGATTTTCGACTTCTCAGACCTCCTACACAAAGGGAAAAAAACCGCCGAAGGAAAACTGACCCTATACTCACATGAGTATCAGTTACGCAACATTCCGTGTTCTACAGTGTCTCCTAGAAGCTGTAACACTCTCCAAACCACAGTTACTAGCAATGAGAAATAACTCACTGTTGGCTGTGTCAGCTTTTCGGAATCTGGTCAGGTCAACGTTGGGTGGTCTGCTGGGCTTGGGTGGAGGCGGGCCCAAGACAGACAGGGGAGGCAGAGGCTTCTGCTTGGGGATTGTTGAATTCTTGTCTTCTTTGTCCTTCTCCTGACTTTGGCCCCATGATGTCCCTGCTGTCAACTTGGAAGGGGCCTTGGGGAATCTGGCCGGCTCCTCCTGATTCATTTTACTCAGAAAGATGTTCTTTGTAACATCTGTTTTCCTCTCTTCTTTTTTTTCTTCAGAGTTTCTGGAGAGCCCTGGGCTCCCTCTGCTTGCAGCAGGTTTTAGAACCACTCCAGCAAAGGGTGAACTTGACGTTCCAATGTCTTTATCCTCTGTGTCTTCCCTAGCTGATTTGAAAGGACCACCCTTGCCCTTGGCCCCTAGTGGCACTGGGGATCCTTTCTGGACAGCCACGTTCTTAGAGGTGCTCTCTTCTTCCTGGGAGTCCTCTGCACTCAGGGATGGCTTCTGGCCAAAAGTGTGTCTGGGAAATCGGGGTTTGGGGTCAGCATCTTGTGTGGCTGGCATGAACTTGCTCTTAGCTCCAGCCACCTTTGAGAACCCTGGCTTTAGGTCGTTTTCGGGGACTGGGGGAGTAGGCCCTGGCTTTGGTCCTGGTGTCTTTAAGTCAGACTCTTGGTTCAAATTGTGCAGCTTGTTCCCTGAAGGCCGTAAAAACGCCGGTTTGGGATCTTCTTTAGGCAAGCTGGTGGGTTTGGGGCTTACAGGTTTCAGAAACCCAGCCTTGACCTCAGGGTCTCTAGAAGCCGAAGTTGGCTGTGTTCCAAATCTTTGGTTCACCCCACTAGGTTTTAAAAATGGGGGTTTGGGATCCTTGTCAGACTTATCCTCATAGGTAGGTTTGGCTGCCAAGGGTGGTTTTGTGGTCCCAAATTTAGGCGTGTTGCTGGGTCCTGCGGGAGGACTGGCATTTCCTTGGTTGTCAAATAGATTCTTTCTTGCTTGTATTCCTGAAGGCGCATTTTGTCCTGCGACTTTGAAGGGCCGGCTGTTGATGGAGACCTCCTCTGTCGGGTTAGTCCCTGTGTTGAACTTCGCCATGAGGGACTTCACATCTGTTTTTCCATCCTACAAACACAGGGAACAACAACAAAACCAGCTGAGAGCCAGAAGTCTCACTTGCGATTTAAAGTACTACACCTTCAAGGGCTTCCTGATCTGCGGCCGGGGTGCCGGGGTGCCGCTGATTGGTTGACCAGCTATTGTAACATTTAAGTTCCTCTATGGCAAAATAAGTTGTGAGGGTTTCTTGAAAAGGGAGGGCTATGGCTGTGCATAAACTTCTGTTTGTCATACAGGGACTCGCTCATTTATGTTGAGAACGTTTCTTTGTCCCCTCACTGTCTGCCTAGCTATCTTGTTGGATTTATTCTTACTCTATATTTCCCTAGACTTTTGCTTCATTTGAAAACTGACCAGCAAATGAATTCTCCCATATTTTACAACTGAGACTCATGTGGAAACTGAACTTAAAAATGAAAGTAGATGCTGTAAATTTAGGCTGTATGCTTTTACCCAGGAAAGCAATGTTAGCATCACTGTGGCTGGCAAGAGCTTTCCTGTTCCTGTTGCATCTCAAGTCTGTTGCTGTTAGAGAGATGTTACAGAACGTCCCAGCCCTTCTAAAAATAACAGAATGGGGTTTCCTTATTATTTATAGGTACAGAGTGCTACTGTGTGACTGTATTCAGACTAATAGGTCTTGAGGTAGAAGCCTAGGCTAGCATAGGGAGGGTCATAGACCAGCGGCAGGGACTCACTGGGGAGTCTCATTTCTAGATCTTTCTCTCAGTCTTATCTCTTCTAGTGCCATGAGGTCCTGCCTCCCCTCCCCTCCTCATGAGAATTAGGAAATTACTCAGGAAAGGCAGCAGACATTCACCTTTCTTTGTTAATATAGTCCAGTTTAACCTGGGAGAAATAACGGTGTGTTTGCTCTTTCCTTCAAAACCAGAGTTTGAGGCGGGGACATGGCTCAGTTAAGAGCATACCTGCCTAGCAGGTCTGAAGCCCTGGCTCAGATGCTTAGCATGAAATATATAAGGCAGGTGAAGTGGTACACTCTGCGGTGCTAGCATTTAGGAGGCAGAGACGGGAAGAGCAGAAGTTTCTGAAGGCTGAGGTCATCCTTGGCTACACAGGGCTACACAGCAAGTCTGAGACAAGACTGAGATAGATGAGATCCTGCCTCAAAAAAAAAAAAAGTTAAAAAGCAGAAAGAACCTCTGAAGCTCCGCAGAGAAAGAGAGAGTATGAGAAGCTACCAGACAGAAGATGTTGCTCAGTGATGCAGCAGGCGCTCAGCATGGGCAAGATACACACACACACACACACACACACACACACACACACACACACACACACGCACGCACGCACGCACGCACACGCACACACGCACATGCACACATGCACACTTGCTGTCTGGTTGGATGGAAATTTATTTCTGAGAGAGAAGTTTTTGATCCTATATTACTTTTTGTTTTGTTTTATTTTTTTGTTTTTCAAGTCAGGGTTTCTCTGTGGAGCTTTGGAGCCTGTCCTGGAACTAGCTCTTGTAGACCAGGCTAGCCTCGAACTCGAAGAGATCCACCTGCCTCTGCCTCCCCAGTGCTGGGACTAAAGGTTTGTACCACCACCACCCAGCTTTTGATCCCTGGTATTAACTATAGTCTTTGTGTATAATTTCATTAAGGTTCATAAAAACAAGGTGGAATAGCATAGCGAAGGACTTAGACTTGGAAGTCAGGTGACAAAGATTATTAATGAGGTTTCTCATCTCCTTATGCAGATAATGGCACTGCTCCGAGGCACTGTGAGTGAGCCCACAGCCCTGGCATGGTGTATAGAGTGTTAGCACTGGCACATCAGCAGGCTTCCTGTTTTTGTGTAAAGAAGAAACCTGATCATCTATTGTCCCTCCTCTCTGCACTGCCGGGGAACCGAGCCCTGCTCTGTCGGAGCAGCTTCACATCTTGCCCATCACAGGGGAAAACCCTTGAAATACCCCTGACCATTGACAAATACCACACATTATTTTTAGTTCTGAAAATATGGAAGTTGTGGATTTAGAATGGAAACTTTAGTCTAGGCTGCTAGTCTGGATCCAGGAGACCCTGCAAGTGTCTGAGCTAAAGGCACAGGCCCTGAAGTCATTGACTGAGGCGCAAGCCTTGATTTTACTACATAACATGGCATTTTCCAAGTCCGCTTTCTTCATCTCTGAAATCAGAACTCTAATCCCACCGTTGACTGGGTTTTTGCTTGTTTTGGTAAATGGGCTAACACAAGTGGTTAGGTATCTGACTCAGTGATAGAGCACTTGCTTAGCAAATACACGACCTTGAGTTTGGTCCCTAGCTCTGAACTGACAAAAAATATAAACAAATGGATCAAGAATTGAATGTAACACATGCTCACTGATTTTTCTGCCATCACAATAGTTTTCAATTCATTCATAATATAACATTGTCTTTTCCAGATAGAGCCAATATTGAAATTATTGACATTAATGTGTCTTCAAACAAGCACACTTATGAATTACACACAGAATTATCATGTGTGAGTCTGATTCACCGTCATCTTGAGAGTTTTTGCTAGATGCTGAAAGAAGGGGAAGGAAAGAGCAATGGGTTCTGATTCACCGTCATCTTGAGCATTTTCACTAGATGCTGAAAGATGGGGAAGGAAAGAGCAATGGGTTCCTCTGTGGGGCCCTTGAAGAAACAGTGAGTGGAGCCAAGCTCACTGGTGTGTTTGGCACATCAACAACTTGAACTCCACAAGAGGACAATTTTCAGGAGTCAGGGTGGGACCAAACTCAGGCCATTGGGTTGGTGGCAGGCATTTTTATCCACTGAACCAACTCACCAGCATCCTCTGCCCCCTTTTAAAGTAAAAACAGTGAATATATACTCTATTTGTAATGAAACCAGAATGCGAGACGATTAATGCTTAATCATTGTTGTCTTCTTTCATCAATGACAAAAACAAACAAAAAAACTAGCTATTCCTGTTAAAATTGAAGCTAAATGTTGATGACCATAGACAAATAACTTAGTACAAATGACACAGTCTAACCAAGGGAATTGTGAATATGAGACAAGTGCTGTACTGCTAAGCCACATTCCAATTGCTTGTGTATATCTTAAAGTGCAAAGGAAATAAAAGATCCACAAACAATAGATAACTAATGAAACTCTAAAGCAACTTGGAAACTCAATTTTGACCTTGTTAAGATGTGTTTGTTGTGCCAGGTGGTGGTGGTGCATGCCTTTAATCACAGCACTCCGGAGGCAGAGGCAGGTGAATATGAGTTCGAGGCCAGCCTGGTCTACAGAGCAAGATCCAGGACAACCAAAACTAAATATAGAAACCTTGTCCCCAAAAACAAAACAAGCAAACAACAAACAAAAGGATGTGTTCATTGTTCTGGGAATTAAAGTAGGAGGAGAATGAATCATCTCTGTGGGTGTCGTTATTCCATCCTGGGCAAAATGGACAAAAGAAAGAAACGTCTTCATATGATGTTCTATAATGTGCTTAATCCCTAGGGAAACATAAGTTAATAATAATCATTTGTTCAATTTTTGAAAAGTTAGTTGATAAATTTTTGGCTTATGTGGTGGTATTTTGACTCACTTGTTCTGAATTGCTGGTTCTTTCCATTGAACACCATTCATTCTTACTCCTGGTATGACTGCCAATATCATGGCCACAGGTACAGTGACATCAAAGAACAACATGAGGCTGTGAGGGGCTTGTGTATAAAGTTCTAAGGGGAGTCCTTTCTAAGGCTTAACTGATTGCACACAAGGAGTAAGAAGCAGGAGAGAGCAAGGACTAGAGAGGACCAGCTTTTATGCTGGTGATGATGAGGTCCCTCAAATGTATGAAGCACTCCATTGAATACAGCCCATAAAAATAACAAAACACAGAGAAGACAGAAATCCTTCTCCGATCTGGAGAGGTTTTGCATCTCAAAGTAGAAAGCAATTCATGGAAATGTAATAGATTCAAGAAGATCCAACAAACATGGAGAAATAGTTTTCAGCCATAGTGGTTTGCTTTGTAGAAGGAAGATGAAGTGTAATACTTATGACAAACCCTAATCAAACACAAAGATGGTAAACCCCAATACAGAACAGCAGACTTACAATGAGATTTATTTCCCTCCAATAGCATGGCACAAACATTTAGCTAATTATAATTTGCATATGTAGTATGTACACTGTCTACTTGGTGAGATATAAAAACAAGGAACTGATTTTATTTTCCTTTCCCTCTTTAAGAATATGCCTCCTCCCGTGCAAACATTCCCTTCTGGCCTGGAGCTTTCTCCCACGATGTAACATTAAATACACTGGCTGATGGACTGAATTTTACTTGAACTTCTCTGTGACTGATCACAGAGGAGCTGGGAGATTATCTCTTCACTTCTCGGTTAACCTCAGGCACGAATCCATTCTAACATTTCCATCCCATTGCAAAAGGAAGGTTGTGAGTTCCAGTTAGCTGAACCTTTGAGGCTGGAGTGAGCACAAGGCCCCTTTTCAACAGGATGTGGGAACTCGTCTCTCACCACAAACTAAGTTCCTGAGAGCAGGAGCCTACTGCTGCAGAGTGCAGGCATGGGTGGGAGGAGCTGGTGGCAGAAGCCACAGTGACAGCCTTAGTTGTGACAACCCTTTCCACATGTGAAGGTCGAGATGCTTTTTTGATATGCCACCAGCCAGCAATCCCATATCCCCAGTGGCTTACACTGTGAGGGAAAATGCCCTTGGAAAAATACAACAGGCACCCATTGGCTCTCCCAAGGCTGTGTGTGTTTGTCTATTTCTTTATGGTAGGTTGACCTGAAGACACTGTCAGAGAATTTCTGTGGGTATCACATTGTAGCATTGGCTCTAATGCTACCCGGTGCACCTGTTAAAACCAGGACCGTTGCCTGTTTCTGCTTTGTAATTGGAGGGGAAAGAAGCAAGAGGGTTTATTTAGTAAGCCATAAAGCCCTGATGCCGATGATCTGGCTCCCAACTAACTGTTTTGCATTCTCAAGGTATGTCAATCAG